TTTACTCTAGATTTCTCTTTACAATAAAAGTAAACTCATGCCAGTGTTTAGGAACCAGTAATATCAATTCATTAAAATTTGATGACAGTTTTATTAAACTAAGAATCTCATATCACAGAGCATTCACAGTGCAGGAGGCCACAAGTATTGAAAAAATAAATAGCGGCATAAATATATTTATTATTTACAACTCTCTGACCCATAGCTCCTGCTCTACCTGTCTCAGAGAATGAACAAAGACGGCGGCACTCAGCCCAGCATGCCAGAAATGTCTTGTGGGGCCTCCAAAAGACGTATGTGGACAGCCCAGAAGTTGGGTTTGGGTTGTTTATAAGGAGGCTCAGGCTGTGCCCCAGGAAGATCCTTGCCATCCTCCCTCCCTCCCCCCTCGCCTCAGGGATCCTGCGTCTGCCCTGGGGCTGGCCCCCGCTGGCCAACAGCCTCTTTCTTCTCTGGGCAATTGGGCAATCAAAGCTTTCTTTGTGTTCAAACACCAGTAACCACTCCCAGCTGGATGGAGACCCAGGCAGAGGCGCCCTGCCAGGGAGTGAGTGTTATAAACTGGAAGCCCGGTCTCACGTATGAAGCCTCCTCACCCTGAGGGACCCCCATCCCTGGTAGACCAGCCACAATCTGTCTGCTGGGTCCCCAAATGCCCCTAGTATGAGCCATCTGGGGAAGCAGGGAGTGGGCCATGGGGTCTACAGCTGAGGCCAGGATGTCTGTGAAGCAAGATGCCCAGGGGCTGGAACAAGCCAGGAACAGCAGCCTGGCTCACTGCCGAGCCACCTCAGGAGGAGGAAAAGCCTCTTCCTGCCAGAGGGCGACTCTGCTGGGCATTCTGAAATGATGAAGGGAGGGGCTCTGAGGCCTGATTAGTCCACACCATGCACCTCAAAAACCAAACACTGCATGGTCCCTCTCTTTCAAAAACTCTTTTCTAGGTACTAGATGCAGAAAGTACATTCTTGCTCCGGGACTGAGGATCCCACTGGCCCTGTGAATGGAAAAATCCCGACTACCACAGCTATCACGGCGCATAAGGAGCGACTGTTCGGATCCTGGCAACACAGCAGGAATAGGTGTGGACAGTGCCAGACCTGTCAATGGGCTTTTAACTAAGAACAGCCACGCCCCAGCTCGGAGCTCTAACGGACAGAGGAGTCATACAGGCAAGGCTCTGACCTTCACACAGGCAGTGTGGTTTGGCCCGCTGGAGGGGCCTCCCACAGTGCTGTGCCAGGGCATTCAGGCCCCGTGTGATGTGAGAGCAAGCTCTCACTCCCTGCTAAGAAGTGAGCGGAAGACGCACAACTTGGAGAACTGGGCAGTGACACACAGGAGTAGCAGAGTGTCTTAGAAACACACAGGCAAAGATGATGCACAGCAGGGCCTGTGTCCTTAGCAGTATATGCCTGGAAGTGTTTGAGGATGCGGCAAAGACAGATGCAACTGGAAGCCATTTGCCTTGAAGTTTTCTTAACCCCTCTTAAAACATACAAAGCTCTAATACCGCTCATCTGGCCTCTCTGCAGACAACTCCTGTAGGTGGCACAATGGGAAGAAAGGGCCCTTCTCTCAAATGTACGCCGACACCCACCTGCTCATGGTGGCAAGAGAGTGGCCACAGATGTAGCCACCTCAGGAGTCAGGGGCACACCTGCTGCCTGCAGGGAAGGTTGACTCCAACTGTGGGAGCGTATTCGGGGGCCCTCCGGAGATAGCTGAGGTGGGACGAGCCCTCCCTAAAGGCTCATGCAGTGTCCACAGTGCACCCTGGGGCCACTGGAGCTCTCAGCCTTCTCAGCTGCTGACTTCTGAGAGAAACTCTGAAAGGTGGAACAGGACCCTACTTCTCTGGGTATGTCAGCTGGATGGGCCCACCGCACACTCAGGAAAGGAGGGGAGGGGATGCAAAGCAGCCTCAGCCTGGGCTCTGGCTCCGGGCTCCTTGCCTGCTTTCTGAGGGGCAATGAATGGCCTCTCCTGGTGGCCCTGCCCCTGGCCTTCCTCCTACATTAGGTGAGGGAAGGGCTGTAGGGTTCAAGCAGAAGGAAGGCCAGGAGGACGGACAGGTACCAGGCAAGGCTGCGCCCACACCTTTCCGAGACCACCTGTGGGGGTCCCATGCTCTGAGGTGTGGCGGCAGCTGCAATCAGGCCATGAGCTTCCTCACCAGGGAAGAGCAGGTACGCAAGGCCGGGGCAGCCCAGGACAGGGTCTTTGGTCAGGGTCTGCAGGACTGCCCTTGAGTGGGCTGTGAACCTCACCTGGCTCAGCCTGGCTGCAAGAAGGTGTGCGCCTTTGCGATGGCAGGTCTGCAAAAGCTGAGAACAGCCAGGGACAGGCAAGAGCTGGCCTCCCAGGTGAGGAGGGTAAGGAGCAGGGAACAGCCAGAGGGGCAGCCAGGTCTGTGCGCAGGGCAGAGACCCAGGAGACCAGCTGGAGAAGCACAGCGGCAGCAGACTAGAGGCCGAGTTCCAGGAAGGACGGGGCTGTGCAGGGGACGAGACAGACCTGCCCACAGTGTCCTCCGCTTTCAGGCTCTCAGGGCAGCCCACCCAGAACAAGCTCTAGGGCCAGGTGTCCGCCATACAGTACCCGCCCGCCGCAGCGCTTGGGCTGCTGAGGGCAAGTTCCAATCAGAAAGAGGCAGGGACCCCTGGCCTGCTTCTGCGGACATTTGCCATCGGAGCCGTGCTTCCTTTTGACTTTCTGCCACCCAATGGGAAGAGCTACATGTAATTTTAAACCTAATTCTGTAGCAGAAGTAATTACCCCTTGCTAATGAGCTCATTAGCTGTGGGGATAAAATAAAGGAAGTAATCCTGCCTAGTGGTAAAAGCATTGTTTTAAAAAATGAAGACCTAACTTAGCAAGGAATTCTTTAAAGTTGTGATGGAAAAATATTTGTTAAAAATAGAATGTTTTGACTATGTGTACATATAGTTTCCTAGATATAATAAATGCATAGAGCCTTTCAGGAACTTACATTGGCACATCGAAGTCCAAAGAAAACTTTCCAAGAGGCGTATACTACATATGAAAATATAATTTTTTAAACATCTAACTGCGACTGCAGTACACTTTATAACCTCCAGTGGATTCTGTGGAAGAAGAGGAGGGAAATTGGAAAATGTTCTCTGAAAACGATACAAGGATTGCAGAGAGCTGAAAACCAGCAGGGAATTTTTTAGAGGCCATGTGGCCTGTGCCTTGTTAGAACTAAAACATTTTTGGTCTTTTTCAGGAAAAAATAGGAAGATCAGAGAAGGACAGGTGACCTGGAGAAGCAGGAGCCAATTAGGTATTTGGTAAGGTTTTGCCCCAGACAAGGGCAAAGGCATAACCAGTACAGCCACGCCCACTACCCCAGGCTGGACGACCACGCGCCCTGGCTGAGCTGAGAGGGCCCTGGGCTGATGCTGGCCCAGCTCTGCTGCTTACTGGCCAGTAACTAGAACCTCTCCAAGACTACACTGCCTGCTAAATGGAATCATTCCTATCTACGTTGCAGGGTGGGTAGGAGAATCAAAATGGAAACAGAAGAACTCAGAGCCTGCATGAGTCTGGGAAACAGGTGTGTGTGCGTGCACCAGGTGATCTAAGCTACCAGCACACAAAGTGGTCTCCAGTGGCTCTGAAACCCTGTGAAACTACAGTTTATATCAATGAATCTAGGGACTTCCTCCTTTCCTGCTTAGCTAATTCTTTAGGATTAGCTCATTTGTTAATCCTTGGGATTAACAAATCACTCTTGTTTCAATCTAAAGACTACTGTGCTTAACATCCAGGGAGAGGGATAAGAAGTGAAGCCTGGACTTTGTGCAGTTACTAATACTGATGTGAACCCCAAAGAGAAGCCTGGTAAGGGGAGTGGGGTTCCACGGTGCGTTCGTACTTACAGGAACTCAAGGGACACAAGCTTGAACACTTCCTCCTTTGGAAATCCTGGAGGCCTTAAAGAGCATAGTCAGAAACTCCAGTGTGGGTCATGAGTTCCATGTCTCAGGAAGGGATTAGTTACTGTATTTAAACTCATCATTTCCAAGTTTAAAGTGACTTCTGGTGAATCACTCAAATCCTTTCTTCTCCAATCATTATGGCTCAGTCCCATACCTTCATTTGTGCAAAATATCTCAATATTAAAAGTGCATCACATCTGATAGACTTTTGCAATAGAAACATTAAAAAAATAAAAAAAACACTCTCTCTATATAAAATTAATTTGTGCTTTCCTTTTAGAATCCAAGGATGGTTTATGTTCATAAATCTTTAAATATATAGAGCTATGAAGAAGCTTAACATTGTTTCATATTTTCTGTTTTTGAATCAACTCCCAACCCCTTCCCCTTTCATGTGTAGCGAACTATAAGGTTCAAGAAACTTGGATCTAAACACTCTAAGACATGGTTTCCATACTTGCCTTCAGCTAACAGAGAGCAATTTGGTGTGTTTCAGGAAATCTCTCTTCTTCTCATGAGCCATCACTTCTGAAATTTGTTGGGCATATAAACAACTGGATCTCTCCACAGGTGATTTTGCAAATAGAGCAATAACAAGAAACAACATGCTCGAAGGGACAGTGTGTCGCATCATACAGAAGGCCTGGCATGTTCTGGAATAGCTGGCTGTAAACGTTGTGGTTTACCCTACTGTGTCTCTGAGTTAGCACCTGATTCCATGTGGTCTTTCACCGCTTTCTAAATCCAAACCAAAAGTCTTAGAGCCAAAGCAGGATGATACACACAGGATTCATTTTCTACAGGGGTTATCGTTTTGGTCCATCATGATCCTTGTGTGTGGAATGATATTTTCAAGTATGATGATCTATATGATGTTTTATTTTTAATATTTCATTGCTCATTTTCTTAATGCATCAATAAAAAGAATATTAAGAGTATTTTGTTTGCTTTTCTGTCTTCTGCTGGGGAAAATAAGCTTCCAATCTTTCAATTATTATTTTTTTTTTCCAGAAAAAGGAGTGGAAAGTTAGCCACCGTGGTCTCAACCCCCAGCAGGCAGGCGCTTTGCCTCCTCCAAGCCTCACCAACTGCCTGCCAGTGGCGTGTGCCACCCAAGGGGCTCAACCCTGTGGCCCAGAGGGGACACTTGAGAGCAACTGTCCCATTCTGCACTCACCCCAGAAGACCTCACGCTCACTGACTGCCTCATTCCAAGGCTTCCTGGGTGGTAGAAAGAAAGCCACACACAGAGGTCCTTTGACTACAGTGCGCCAGAGACTCGGGGGTCTGTAGAGCTGCATGGCTCAAATGAACCCCCACACCTGCCTTGAGGGGGGCAGGACTCCAGGAGGCATGAATGCCCAGAAGCTGGCCTATGACGACGCAGAGACCACAATGGCCCTTCCTTCCAGCTCAGGAAGAACAGGCAGTGGCTGCCAAGACAGGACAGACCTGTAGTGGGGAAGGAGAGAGAGAAGAGGTCGCCAGTGTCACGGGTGGCCGAAGGAGCTCCCGGGGCGGTATCTCTGCTTATTCGTCTTCTCGGCACATGGGCAAGTTGACGAAGGTGAAGACGTTAAACTCTATCATTATGGAGAAGCACAGGAAGACAGCATAGAGGACAAGCACATAGATGCCCAGCTTCCGGTCCAGCCGCCATTTATTGAGGTGGATGCCGAGGACCTGGGAGGAGAGAGTATGAGAGCTGGGTTTGGGGGCCAACAAACAACAAGGGCTTTTTAGCTAAAAGTGAGTGTGTATGTTAGCAACTCCAGATCATTCTGCAGAATGCAAACAAGAATTGTTAGGAGCCACCAAAGCTGGAAATTGATCATTGGTGGGAGGGCAGGATGAGGCCTTGCTACCTAAAGCAGTCAAGCTGCCTCTGTCCTGAGAAAAACATCCTGCCTGGACATTGTGGGCTAGTAGTCACTAGGCAACCTTGTGTCTGGCAACTCTGCAAAGGTATAAATCAACACCCTGCTGTTGTTCAGGGGCCCTTTGCCAATCAGGCATGGCCCACCACCTGACCTCAGCTAGTGTCTCTTGTCTTTATTTTCTAAATCCTTTCCTCACTTTCTCCCAGGGGCCACTAAGACACCAACAGAGCCCTACAAAAAGTGAATGGGCCTGCTAGACTTATCCTCAGTTTGACCAGAATCAGCCCCAAATATTTAGACTTGACAGCATGAGGATATGTCTCTGGCCAGGCCCTGCTGACCCTAGCACACTCAGGCACCACCCTCGTGGCAGAGAGGTCACTTCCTGAGGGCTCATGTGTCCCAGGCCTTTGCTAGGGATGAATGCGCTTTGCCCTTTGCTTCAGAACACTGCGGTCTTTCTCTCCAAGCAAGTCTCCCAAGGCTCTTACAAGCCATTGCTGGCAAACTGCAACTGGGGCATCCTTTTCGTGCATGTTTTGGGGGAAGGCACAAAAAAGAGTGAACGCCAGACCAAGAAGAAAAGCAATGGAATTCACTTCTCCTGGTAACATGTTCTCTGCTCAGGACAAGTGCTGTGACAGCTGAAGATGCTCTTAGCAAGACCAGGTTTGGCTTTGTCCCTCACTGACAGGAGCAGGTGCCAGGGAGGTGTCTGAAGTCATACAAGGGATGAGGCAGAGGCAGCCCCGAGCAGTGTGCACAAGGCCTGTAATTTTGGAATGTAAGGACTCACGGTGAGAGCCACGGAGCCCAGCAGCAACACCACGGAATAGACCAGACCCCGGCTGTTGATCTTCACCTGGAACAGTAAGCACACACGTGAGCCTTGGGCTGCCTGGCCAGTCCCCTCTGAAAGCCCAGCTCTGCTCATCCGAGGACCTGGCTTGATACAGTAACAGGTGCTGGAAGACCCTGACCAAACCTTACTCAACACCGTCTCCCACCTGGGAACACCCATAGTTTGTCCTGGTAGCTATCAAAGAAAGAGGATGCCAAGGTGCCAAAAGGGGCTGTGTATCTTCCAAAGGCCTGGGCTGGAACAAGACAAATGCCACTTCTGTTTGTAACATGCACCTGTCCCATTTCCTTATGCAGTAAAAAGAACTTACTGTGGATCCATAATTAATAACCATGGTCTGCAGGCCCCACGGGATGCCGAGTCCCACTAGGATGTCAAACACGTTGCTTCCTATGGTGTTTGAGACCGCCATGTCTCCGAGGCCTGGGGAAACAACCAACATGTCTCCTTCATCAAGGGTGGGTCACTGAAAACAGGGGTTCTCTCTTATAATTGTTTAGTGGTGCTACTGCTTAGAAAGTAATTCCATCTTCATAGACCCTACATTTCAAACCACATTTTGCAGGGCCAGAGACCTATGCCTTTCATGAAATATAAAGGGCTTTATTATGGACTGATTTGTGAGTCTTAAAATTCAATGTGTGGGTCCTGGAGCACTGCAGTCCTACAAGATGTGGCTGCATTTGGAGGCAGGGTTTTTAGCAAGGGCAAAGGGTAAGGATGAGGTCATGGGGAGGGCAGATCCAGTCAGAGTCCTTGTGGAAAGGAAAAATCTGCACACAGCACACAGGAGGAGCCCAAGCGAGATTGGAAACAGCCCAGGAGATGGTCGGGAGTGGGGCCTGGGAAGGCTTTCCCCTCACAGCCTTAGACAGCGCCGCCCTGCCTAACCTTAACCTTGGACTTCTGACCTTCAGAACTGTGAGATGACACATCTTTGTTGTATCTTTGTTGCTTTCATCATCCAATCTGCAGTAAGGTCACCCTTAGTGAATGAATCCAGGCTTTTTGTTATTTCTGCTACCAGCTTCACCAGCTCGCATGCTCTGTGGCCCCTCCATGACCTTTGCCCCATTTGATCCTCCTAGTTACTCTGAAGGGGGTGGTGACATCCTCCCCATGCAGAAGGTGAAATACACGGTCTGCAAGTGACCCCATGGTCATGTACACCCAGACACGATGCATATTTGTTACCAGGCAATGGCACATGTGGCCTGGGCTGTAGTAATACTGCGTCAGAGCTTATGTCCGATGCTTTGAGAAGGGTAAGCTTTCTTCAGGCAAACCAGAGGCGTCTCAGAGGGCCATGCCGCCACTCTTCTCTCTCCTACCCAACACATTGTCCAGCATGGGGCTTACCATACATGTGGAAGAACTCAAGGAATATTAGAAAATAGGGAGCACAGTGGTATGCATCAGCCTCATGAGGGCAGAAATCCGTCCTACTAGAAACGCCTGTCTTACACCGCACACACACGTCTGCAGGATGACAAGCCTGAGTTACAATGCTGACACCCATCACGTCGCCGGGGCAGCTGTTGGTGCCAGCTGTGGAGACAAGTGGCCCATCTCTGTCTGCACCCATGCTGCCTGTGTGCCCGGCTACCTCTTCCTGCTTGTCCTTGTGGCTGTTGTCTGCTGACTCGGGCACATAAATCTTCCAGTTGGACTGATGCCTCTTCCCTGCCTGCCCCTGTGCTCTGAGGATAACCTCATACCCTCCGTAGCTCGGTCCCTTGTGTGGTCAGATGCCTGGGAACTGACCTCCAGGGTGCAGTCTGGTAAAACAAGGCATCAAGTGCTGACTGCTTTGGAGCAGCTACTTGCACCTGGCGAGGAGGTCGGGGTGAGGGGACCAAGACAGCTCAGTGTGGACAGAGGAGACAAACTTCTCAGGCTGGTGGACTTCCTGTACTGCAGCTGTGGGGCCCCTGGAGGACTCTCAGGGCAGTAACTCCAGCTCCTGTGAGTGTGCAGATCATCCAGGGGTCCGGTTCATCTGAAGACGCAGGTTCAGTGAGGCCAGGGCAGGCCCTAAGAGTCTGCTTCTGCCATGTACCAGGTCAGTGCCCCCTGGGCCACATGGTGAACCGGAGCCTGCAGGGTGTTGGGGGCCTGCACAATCTCCTGCTTTGCGCAGTGGTCTCTGAGCAAAGTCTCTGTGCCCTCTGTTGTAAAGAAGCTGTCCAATCCTACCCATGTCTGTCAGACTATTAGCCACATCAGTGTCACCCTTACACCCACTGTATACCCCCATCCCAGCCTCCGGAATACTTCCTCTCCATAAACCCACAATCCCCTGCAGCCACCTTGAAATGGTCTCCTGCCTCAACACCTCACCTGTCCCTTGGTCCTAAGAGACTTCTCTGACCTCACTCAGACTCCTCAAGCCCTTAAGCTTCAGGCATCACAACCTTCCCCCTCACCAGCTGTTTGAATTGCACCTTGTCTTGCCCTCCTGGCTTGCCACCATGCCCCCAGCTGGGGTGATCTGCTGGAGCTGGCATGACTGACCCCACCCGAGTGCATGCTGCAGAATGTCAGGCGGGCCCTCAGCATGCACCAGCTTCCCTCTAACTCACTGTCGTGGGATGAAGGGTCTCTTAATTCATGTCTACTCAGAACTTGTGACCTTGACTTTATTTGGAAATAGGGTCTTTGCAGATGTTAACACATTGAGATAAAGTCACATGGAACGGAACAGGTGACATGAGAGGCAGAGGCTGGAATGGCATCAGCCAGGGAACCAGGAAGAGGCCAGTAAGAGCCAGGAGGGTCCTCCCCCCCATCCCCCCCCCATCAGCCTGCAGGGAGGCCCCACCCACAACTTGCTTTCAGAGCAAGGAGGTAGGTCGATGTTGCTTTAGGCCACCTAGTGGTCATGGTTGCTCTAGGAAATTAGTGTACTCCTGTCCAAGGTCACCCAACTAAATTCCATGGTCTTCAGCTGCTGTCCCCGTTCTCTGTGAGGCGTCCACCTGCCACCTGACCTCCGCAGACACTGCCCTTCCCCTCCACTCTTCCTCAGCCCTGCTGGCCGGCCAGCCGGCCTTTCTCCTTTCTCTTTGCACTCCTCTCCTATTGACATGCCCTTTCCAGCCCTAGACCTACAGCTGCTCCTCTTCTGGGAAGGTCTGTGGCCGCCCATGTTGTGACGCCACCTCACTGGCAGAAAAGGAGCAGGGAGTCACGGCTGGGCTTGTCACAGCTTCTGTTCTGCCTCTGAAGACTGTAAGTTATCATTCATCTGTTCAACCTATGCCACTTAATAAACCCCAAGGGAAAACCTCGAAATAGGATTCATATGCTAAAAATGAATCCACAGGACAACAGTATTGGAGTTCAGGCCTTTGGGAGGTGGTTAGGTTATGAGGATGGGACCTGGTGAACGAGATTAGCGCTCTTGGAACGGGCCCCAGAGAGCTTCTATGCCCCTTTTACTATGTAAGATTATAGGAAGGGACTATGGTTTATGAATTAAGGAGTAGCTCTTGCCAAACACCAAATGGGCCAACACCTTCCTCTTGGGTGTCTCTAGAATTATAAAAAAATAAACTCCTATTGTTTATATTAAAAAAGAAAAATCTCAAAAACAAAGGAAAAGATTCTGTAACTCCTAGAAGTTGGAAGAACAGGGAAATAGTCGGATTATAGGCAGCTCTTTTTGCTTTCCTGAGATGGGGAAATGTCTCACTACCTCCTCATTTGCTACTTGAAGTCTGGGTTTGGGCTCCGTGCAACCCCACGCTGACTGGCCGTCTCAGGACATGCACATTTTGAGGCAACCATCTGGGAAAAGGCTTCCAAAGATCTAGAGTCGTCTGTCTCATCTTGGCAGTGTTTGCCCCACAGGTGAAGTACTGCATGATATTTTAGATGTCATGATGTCCCTCTCTGCAGGCTTGGCAAAAGCCAGTCTGCGGTCGCACAACCTGGCCACCAGGCCTGGGCAGGGAACCGATGGCTGGGGAGGGTAAGGCGCAGTCCAGCCATACCTTGTCTGGCCACAATCAAGCTGGCCATGCAGTCCGGAACACTCGTGCCCGCTGCCAGGAAAGTGATACCCATGATGACATCGGGGATCCCAAGTGTATATCCGATGATAGTCACCTGCGGGAGAGGGGGTGGGTGACGTGAACTCACAGTGGAACACCCGTGGGGACTTTGCTGACCTGTATGCTTTTAACTTGAATGTGGCAACCAAGAGAAAAAAATCTGGAATATGGTTTCACAAACACTTTAAATGTTCTTTCCCCCACCCCCATGACAGGAGTAATATGTATTTATTATCTTAAAACACTTGCAATATAAAATGGAAACAAAAATAAAAATGACCTACCCTTTCTCAAGACCCACAGAGAATCACCATAACCTTTCACATTGGCCAGTGGTTCTCAAACTTGAGAACATAGGAAGGGTCAGGGAAGACTTGTGACCCTGCAGACTGCTAAGCTGTACCCCCAAGTTTCCAGGGTGAGGCCTAAAAGCTTGCATCCCAGGTGGGCGGCACCCTGACACTGTGGGTCTGGAAGCTCATTTGCAAACCACTGTGTTAGGGTTGAGAAGATAGCTCAGGGCATAAATGCCTGCCTGGCAAGTGCAAGGTCCTGAGTTTGACTGGGGTTAAAACAAAACAAAACCCCTCTATTTTAGACTGCATCCTTGACCTTGACTTTGATCTATGTGTTAGAAAAAAAATCATATTAGTTTATACTATCAATATCTATTTTATAATTATATATCATGAGTACCTTTCCATCCAGAATCGCTTATGACATCTTTTAAAGTGATAATTACATTTCACTGTACGCCTGTAAAGGCTTCACCAATCCTACGCTGCTGTGTATCTCAGATGGTCTCTTTTATTTTTACAGTGTTGCTCACTGTAAGAACATTTGTTGAGCACTTACTATGTGCCAGGCCTTCGACAAGGTGTCATACTTCCCATAATCTCACGTTCTTGATCATTTATTACCCACTATTGAGGGAGACACCTTAATTATAACAACGGAGGCTCCAAGACATTAGTCACACTGTCCACGGGCACACAGCTGGCAAGCGGCAGAGCAGGGATCCAAGCCAATGTTTCTGATCCTGCAGCCGGAATTTCAGCCTCTCCAATGCGCTGTTCCGTGCATACGTCTTTAGCTTTTATCCCGCTATATCCTTAGGATAAATCTCCAAAAGATGGAACTCCAGGTCAAAGAACACACAGGCATTTTAAAGATGGTGATGCACACGCATTGCTGACACTGGAGAGGTAGCCAGGCCCTGACAGCAGCCAGGTGGAAATCTCTGGAAGCATCTGAGCCCCTCACCTCTCTTCATCTAGAGCTGGAAAACGGCAACACCCCTCCCGGGCCAGACCTCAAGACAGAAGATCAAATAAATGCGCACCTCCCTAGGGATAAACATCAGGGTTTGATATTCTAAACAGGTCTCTATCACCTTGAGAAAGCCAGGATGAGCCAGTGACCCAGCCCCCTACAGGAAAAGCCCCTGTTCTGTAGCCATCTCCGCTTGCTACGGGACTCTCTTCCCTATGTGAATCCCACTTCATCAATTTTACTTGAGCAATTGTACTTGTAATCTTATTTGTTGACCGTGGTTTTATCCCATCTCATGTGCGAGTTCCCATGTTTCCCACCTTAGAACTGACTCACTTCATGGTCTTGCTCTATAAAAGTCCCTACAAAGGGCAAATTCCTTGGCCACCCACCTGGCGGGTTCCTTGCTGTTCCTCTCTCGGACAGAAGCTTTTCTTCCCCTCAGTAAATATATTCTGCTCTTAACCTGCACTGTTCCTAAAATCCATTCTTTGGTTTTAGAGAACATGCACTTGTCCCAGGTCCCAGGTATCTTTCAGGTTGGGAGACTCTTTCCCTATTTCAGGCTCAGGGAGCCCCGGATGAGCTATGGCTTCCAAGCACAGAGCTTAACCCTGGCGTGCAGCCAGCGTGTGTGGGCTATGAACAGCTCTACTAGCAGGAAGTTTGCGGAGGGCTCCAGAGACATCCATGAAGATCTAAGACAGCACTTAGCTCAGATGAGGTGGGACAACAATGGATCCAGCAGTGCTTAATCCACACTGTCCATAAAAGGGCTCTCCGCGAGCCAACCTGGGGCTGACAAGCTTTTAATTCCAAGTGCTGGGATTGATTACAAACGTGAGGCACCATGCCCAGTTTGTTTACGGGTTTCGGTTGTCAAACTCGCCTAGTTCCCCAGCTGAGGCCATCTGAGGCTCAAATCCACAGGTGCCTAGTAATCGGCTCCTATGACCCCAGGCCACGCCAAGTAGCTTTGGTGCTAGTTTAAGAAACAAGGACAGGGCTGTGCATTGTGGTGCATGCCTGTAAGCCTAGCTCTTGGGAGACTGAGCCAAGAGCATCCCCACAAGCTCAAAGCCAGCCTGGGTTACTTAGTAAGTTCCAGCTCAGCCTGGAATACATAGTGAGACCCTGTCTCACAACAAAACAACAACAAAAAGGAGTGGGATTTGTAAGTCAAGGCAGTGTGGATGGGACTGTCCTACCTACTTGCTAATTAGAATTTTCACACATTCCTTCACTGATCTTCCTAATTTTCCTATATATTCAAATGTCATGAAATACCTTTTCTTGTTGTTTGGGAATTCCCACTGCTAAGAAAAATTGGGTCCTTTCCTTAAAATGTGAAGATAGGCAGGCCTCTACTCCGAGAACTACGATGTGCAAATGGAACATATTTGAGGCATGCTTTTTGTTATCTGTACCATCCTTCCTGGGGGCCTTGGAGACTAAGGAAATGGGGAAGGTATGTGTGGAGCTGGCTGAGTGCAGAGCCAGGACGCGCCTGCACCTGTAGTATGCGAGGTGCCCTTTTCCTCCCCAGGACTGGTGGCTGCCCCACCTCACACACGGGCTAGCCCTAGCTCAGGGAGCCAAGATGTTTGCCCAGGCAGGTTTCTTGGCTCCTCAGAGGCAGGACCAGGATTCAGATCTGTCCTCATGTGACCTCCATGGCTCTTCTGTCCCCTAATGCTGCACCCTTCCTCTGGAGCTAAGGGACAGGGGCCTGTGTGTCTATGTGTGTCTACAGGGAGCTCTCCCAAGCCAACAAGGAGAGCCACCTCAGCCCTGGGTCAGACGTAAGGATGAGAATGGAGAGACTCGAAGCCTCCTTCACTACTCACTGTGCCACAACCATGCTGTAAGCGTGTCCTCCTCGTGCCCCTCACTCAGGATAAGGAAGAGGGAGCTCTGGGTGGGTCACAGAGCCCAGGGGAGAGGCCTATCCTGGCCCAGCAGTCAATGGTTTGAGCAGGAGCTGGCATGTGTGGCCAGGGGAGTTTACAAGAAGCCACCCAGCACCTCTCTGCTAGCAAAACATCTGTTCAGTGGCATCTGAGAATCCCAGTACCCAAGTGACCCGAAGCTCAGGATAGGGATTGAGGTGGTGGACCAGGAGGCCAACGCCTGCATCCCACCCTGCTGCCAGCACTCATTAATAGGGTAACCTTGGACACATTGCTTTCCCCATTTGTAAAATGGGAACAATAAAAGTGCTTATCTTGTGGGATTTTTGTGAGGATAAAAAGACACTTCTGTAAGTGCACACAGTCCGGCACCATGCATCCTGCTGAGAATCCTTTCCCGAGATGAATAAGCTGCAGACAGCTGGGTCAGTGACTTGCCTAAGGTGGCCCAGCTGCTCCTGTGATGCCTGGAGCCCAAGTCCTCCTTCCCCCGCCACTCCCCACTCACCAGCCACACCATGAGATAGGAGAAGACAGCAATCCACAGCGTGGCCGTGACGAAGGTGACCATGAAGAACCGCTCCCAGCGGGGCTTGCTGCAGTTGGGGATGGTGATGCACAGGAGGAAGATGAGTGGCCAGGTGAACACCCACTTGGCCTTGTCCCCTCTGGCCTCTGCAGGGAGCAGGGAGCAGCAAGGAGGCAGGGGAGAGAAGACATTGGGTTACACACCCGCTGGGCTACTGCTGGTTCGAGTTTTCAAGCTAAACAGAGGAATGCCACGATGTGTCTCCCAGCAATGGAGCACGGAGAATCCCAGACCCGCCTCACTCTGGAAGCAGCCAGCAGAGTCTGTTCAGTGCAAATCCTTCATCTGGCACAGGACACGGGAGCTGCAGTGGTGATGTGGACAGCACCTAGGCCTGGGACTCAGACAAACTTGCGAGGACATTCAAGTGACCTGGAACAATCAACCACCTCAGCTGTCCCTCTTCCTCTGATGACAAAGTTCACACTCACACAAGGAGCAGAACAATGACACACAGAGTACTGGCCACGGGCAGGACAGTGTGGGTGCACTGTATTTTATTATTTCTCCATCTGCAAAACAGGGACACCGCCTCTGTGGCTGGAAGGCAGCCGGGACACGGTGTACACAGAGCACCCAGCACACAGCCTGGCACACAGCAGGTACCCTGCCGAGCCCGGCCCCTCTCCTCCAAGGCTAGACAGTCAGGCTGCAGCAGGTGCAAGATGGAAGCGTGGGTGTCCTGGCTGGCGGTCCCTACCTCAGTGGGCCCTACCAAGGAAATCCACACAAGGAAAAATGGCCTCGCAAAGCCACTGGACACAAGCACAGCATCCTAATGAGCACAGAGTATGCATTTGCCAGACCGGCTCAGGGTCAGGCTTCTGGTGATGTTGGTGAGAGCAGACAATTCTTTTCTCTGTAAAAGCAATGTGGACAATGGCAGAAGTGGCCGCTATCTCACTGTTTAGAATTCTGGAAAGTAACCAACAGTTTACAGCAATTGGGGAAGTCTGTTTAAGAAAATCAGACTGGATCTCAAAAAAATCACACTGGATCTCAAAAAGATCAGGGAGCTCTGTGGCATCTTAACTTTTCCATTCTCTCCCACCCGCTTAGGAATAACCTTGAAAACCAAGAGCTGCAGGGACAGGGAAAATAGCAGCCTGGCTGCCACCAGAGGTGGCAGAGAGGGCCGAGCTGGTTCTGATTGATGGGTGCAAGCCTCCTGCGAACGGCCTATAAAAACCCTCTACGGTTGTCTCTGCAAGACTGTTGGCAGAAATGTAAACTTAACAACCACTATGGATATCAGGATGGAGACTTCTCAAAAACTAAACCTAGCAATTCCCTTTGGCCCAATTATTCCCTTCTTGGTATCCTCCTGAAAGGGTTAGAGACGGCACACGACAGGACACATGCACACCCACGGGTACAGCAGCACAACTCCGTAACAGCTAAATCTTGGAAGCAGTCTATACATATCCACTGAGTGAATAAATAAAGAAAAGCTGGTATTGGGCTGGCAAGATAGTTTAGCAGACTAAGCGCCTGCTTTGGCAAGTGCAGGGACCAGGGTTCGATCCCTGGTCTGCATGCTGTGCTGGCTCTGCCCCCAGGGCGCAATGAACAGGCAACCAACTCTGGGTGTGGTGGTGTATGCCGGTGATCCCAGTGCTGGGGAGGCTGAAAACAGGAGGATCCCATGAGTCTGAGCTGTGTAGTGAGACCCTATACCAAATACATAAATGAAAAAAGAAAGAAGAAAGAAAGAAAAGCTGGTATTTATGCACAATGGAGGACTACTGTGCTATAAAGAAGGGTACATGTGAGTCATTTATAGGAAAATGTGTGCAACTTGAGACCATAATGGTAAGTGAAATAAATCAGACACACACACTTAGATATTTATGCTTCCTCTTGTATGAAAATCCCAAGTACAAATAAATTGAAGAGCAACAGAAAAGACAGGTAGCACAAAATGGAAAGATAGATCTCTTACAAGTGGGAAGAGGTCTGAGAAATGGAAGGAGGAAGAAGGTGAGAAGGAGAAGGGGGCACAGAAAAAATTAAGATGCACCTTGTACATGAACCGACAACCCCATGTGAAGAATGGGAGCAGTAGATACCACAAACACAGGCCAATAAAAATAACAATTTAAATTTAAAAGCCTCTATGCGTGCAAAGCATGCTGGATGTGCATTTCCACAGAATGATGTTTCTCAACCTCTCTGGTAGTCCCGGGAAGCCTCCACTTCCATCCTCAAGAGGACTCAAACCCTAAGGTCACCAGGGTGACCTTTTCCTTGGGGAGTCTGTAGAAAGCAATCAGAATCAGAGTCAAGGATTAAACTGTTCTGCCTGAAGTGGAAGATCACACTTGGGGCAAATGGAACACTAACCAAAAATATCAGAACGAAAAGCTGGAGAGCAGGGTCTTGGCTGGCAGGAGCCTTGGCAAAAAGGCTCCACTGGCTCCTGGGAACCGAAGAGACCCTGTGTGCAGTCAAGTTTGCCTCAGTGCTGGCTGCTGCTCGGCAGGGACCTGAGGCCACCCTGAGCTCTTATCTCAGCCTGATGGTGAGGCTGGGCACCCAAAAAAAGGAAAACGTGACACAGAGTTGTGAAGGGTTCAGTCACTCCCCAGGCCAGGCATGATGGACAGGCCTGTAATCCCAGCACCACCCTGGGCAATTTAGTAGCTTATGGAGCGCTAGTGTCAAAGGAAAAATAGGGGGTGGGGAGAGGGACTGGGGATGTTGCTCAGCCCTAGGTTCAATCCCTAGAACCAACAGAAATGTTTAGCTGACTCTAGGGTAACCTAGTGGAGCCCTCAGTGGCCACACACACCTGAGTGCAGGTTTTCCAGTTAGTACATAAACAAAAGAAATAACAACATAATAAAAAGAATGCCACGCCCTAGGCAGGGGGAAGACTATAAATTCCAGAGCTGCTGCACTATATCGTTTTATTATTGTTGTTCCCAGCTGAAAATGCCCAGCTTTGAACAATGATAATAAAATCGTAAGATATGCAAAACGAGCATCGCCCATCCCCAGCCTAGACACCCCACTGAGGCAGGCTAAATGCGGAGTTCGCTAGGCAAGCCGCAGCCAGCTGCTCAAAGACACGCTCAAAGGAGCTTTCTTGATGTCTAAAAAATGAGTGTGAGAATGACATCTCACCAAAAAGACCAACGGAAACAAGCAGAAATCCTGGAATGAAGAAGCATAATAACCAAAATAGAAAAGTCACCAGAAAGGTTCAACAGTAGATCTGAACAGGCAGGAGAAAAAAGCTGACCACCTTGAAGACAGAGCAATGGAAGTGCTCTGGTCCGAGGAACCAGAAGATAAAAAGAATGAAGAAAAAGAACCAGGACTTCAGAGAGCCAAGGGCACTTTTGGCAGAGCCAGCAAGCGTCACAGGATTCCGAGAGGAGAAGCAGGATTGAAGGGGAGGAAGGAACCTTGAGAACTCATAAGAACTTCCACACGCCTGTCATCCCAGCACTCGGGAGGCTGAGGCAGGATGATAGTTGCGAGTTCAAGACCAGCCTGGGCTACAAAGTGAGCTCAAGAGCAGCCTGCACTGCAGAGCGAGACCCTATCTCAAAAAGATTAAAAAAAAAAAAAAAAAAAAAGAAAGAACTCCTCAAATCTGATGAACCACACCAATATAAATCCAGAAAAGCAGTATATAGTCCTCTCAAGCATGCACAGATCACTTGCTAGGACAGACCATATGTCAGGCCATAAAACAAGACTCGGTTCATTTAGAAAGACTGACCTTATGCAAAGTACATTACCTAACTTCAGAGGAATGAAATTAGAAATCAACAACAGCAGGAAAACTGGAAGCATCACAAATATGTGCAAGTTAAATAGCAGACTTCTAAATAACTCATGGGTCACAGAAGAAATTGCCAGGGAAGTCAGAAAATACTTGGAGATGAATGAAAACAAAAAAGCGGCCTGCTACAGTTTACAGGACGCAGAGAAGAGGGCTTAGCCAGGAAAGGGCAGCTGTGAATGCTTGTATTGAAAGAGGGAGATTTCAAGTCAACGATGTACCCTTCTTTCTTTAAAAAAGAAAAACTGTAAATTAAGTTTTAAAAAAAACAGAAAGAAGGAAAGATCGGGACAGAAATAGATAAAATAGGACAAACAATATAGAGCTTCTGTGAAAGGAGAAATTTGTTCATTGGATTCTATTTACACAGAATGTCCAAAACAAGCAAATCCACAGAGGTAGAAAGTGGATCCGTGGTACTCAGAGGGTGGGAAGGCGGAGCCAATGTGGGGTCACTGCTGGGGGGCCTGGGGTTTCTTTTTAGGATAATGAAAATGTTTTGGAATTACACAACTCCATGCACATAGCAAGAAAAATGCTCAATTGTACCATTCACAGGGATAGATTTTATGGTATATGAACTTTTAAAGTTGCAACGTAGGCTGACACTGGCTGTTTTAGTTCTGTATATCTGTGCTTTTTATCTTCCAAAATAATCATAAGTACATTTAGTAAGAAAAAAAAGCTGCCTGCTTAAAATGAGCCAAGAGGACGTGGCTGGCTAATGATCACAACTCATCTCTACCGCTCCTAGACGTGGATCCTAAAGACATCCATCTTCCTGGATCTTCCTCCACAAGGTGCCGCACACTGGCCTGCCCAAGGGTAGAACGGTGCTCTGTCCCATCAGTCTGTCCAAGTTCCCAGGCTGTCTCCTTGCCAGCTGCATCCCAACTCATCCCAGGGAAGATGCGAGAGCGTTTCCACAAGTGATCTCTGTACACCGGGAAAGTTCACTTTGGGGAACATGACCCTGGATGCCTTGTAGGCCCAGGAGTGGCTTTGTAGATCGATACAAACGCAACAGGACGACAGATTTCTTCCATCATAGACAGCGAGTGGCATCAGCTGTCTTCTTGCCTCGTATGGGTCTTGCATCTGGCTTTGATGTCCACCCCCATCCTCTCCCCACTCAGGAGGCCAGAGTCAAGGCTCCCCTGTTTTTTTAGGAACACTCCTCCAAAGGTCTCTGTCACAGCCGAACCCCTCACAGAGGGCTGAGATCCCCGCTGGAACAGGAATTCAATGAAGTAGATGGCAACTAGCACTCTCTAATGTCAGCACGTGAAACAC